CTCTCTCTCTCAGCCTCCCCCAACTCTCTCTCCCACACACACACACTCTCTCACACACACACTGACACATACTCTCTCCCCCACACACACCTCTTTCCCCCCCACAAATACACTCCCTCTCACACACACACACACACTGACACATACTCAACTCCTTCTCCCCCCCCACACATACACAATTCACACACACACACCTCTTTCACCCAACACTCTCACACACACACATACACAACTCTCTCTCCCCCCAGACCCACACTCTCCCCCCACACACATACAAACACACAATCTCTCTCACACACACTCTCCCCCCCACCAACACTCTCTCACACACACACGCTCTTTCTCCCACCACACACACACACACACACTCTCTCTCTCACACACACACACACTTTTTCTCACACACACATTCTCCACACACACACATACACAACTCACACACACACACACTCTCTGACACACACACACACCCCCCCCCTCTCTCTCAACACACACACACACACACTCTCTCTCTCTCCGTCCCCCCCACACATACACGCACACACACTCTCTCTCACACACACACTCTCTCACTCACACACACACTCTCTCTCAAAAACACATACTCTCTTTCTCCTCCCACACACACTCTCTATCCCCCACAGACATACAAACACATACAAATCTGACACAAACAAAAACAATCTGACACATACACACTCTCTCTCACACACACTTTCTCTCTCACACACACTCACACACACATGCTATTTCTCTCCCACCACACACACATACACACTCTCTCTCACAAACACACTCAGTCACACAAACACTCTCCCCCATGCACACACACATTCTCTCTCTCTCTCACACACACACACACTTTTTCTCACACACTCTATCCCCCACACACACTCTCTTTCTCACACACACACACCCTCTCTCCCTCCCCCAGACACATACACTCTCTCTCACACACACTCTCTCATGTACACACAAACACACACTCGCTCTCATACACACAATATCCCACCACACACACATACACACTCTCTCTCACAAACACACTCAGTCTCTCTCTCACACACACCCTGTCTCACACACACACACATTCCCTCTCACTCCCCCGCTCTCTCCCACACTCCCTCGCACACACTCTCTCGCACGCACACACACACATACACTCTATCTCACTCTATCTCACACACACACACACTCTCTCTTTCACAAACACACACACACACACACACTCACATACACTCTCTCTCCCCCCCCCACCCACACCTGTCTTCTCCCCCCCAGAAACACGCTCTATCTCTCTCCCACCACACACATACACTCTCTCTCTCTTTCTCTCTCACACACACACACTCACTGTCTCTCTCACACAATACACTCTCTCTCTCACACACACACTTTCACACACACTTTTTCTCACACACACACATATATTCTCTCTCCCCCTCTCTATCACAAACACACACACACACACATACATTCTCTCTCACACACACTCAGTCCACCCCCACTCTCTCTCTCACACATACAACTCTCCCCCCCCACAAACACACTCTCTCAACACACTCTCTCTCCCACCACACACACATACACTCTCCCACACACACCCACCCTCTCTATCAAAAACTCTCTCTCTCTCTCTCACACACACACAAAACTCTCTTCTCCCTCCACAAACACACTCTCTCTCCTACCACACACACACACACACACACAATCTCTCTCTCTCTCTCACACACACACACTCT